TGCTTCCTTATCAGTCTCTAAATGAAAATTGGAAAAACACATCCTCCGAATGCTTTGGCTGGATCATTGGGTTCAACTCCACCAGGTTGTTCTTGAATTGCGGAAGCGCCTGACACTAGGTTTTTTCGGGTCTCAGCCACAAGAAATCAATATAGATATATATCGATATACATATTGTCTATTTATTTATATAGATTAGTTAAATAGATCTCAATATATGCAAGATTCATTTATACCAAAGCAGACTAGTCATCTAGAACCTGCCGCCTTCATCACCTCATTTTGTAGGTGCACTGTTTTGCACCCTTATTATGTAGAAACACTGACAATCTCTGACACAAACACCTGCTCCCGATTCTTTTGCTTCAACTGCTTGATGATGTCCAGCTTCATCAGCAGGTTGTTTTACAGAAGCCCCTGACAAATGCTAAACTGTTTTCACATAACTCATGGAAAAAACCAGCAACAAGTCCAAAATAAAGCAAAGACATCAAGTCCCAACACTTCCAATTGCGCTGACATGTGGTCCTTCTTCTTCTGCAACATCTGAAGCGTCTGGATGTGGTATTTCCACTTTCTTAGAACAACCCGTGTGTGCTGAACAAAACACCAGATTTTGTAAGAACAAACTTCTGCATTCCATTTTGTAGGGTTGCCTTCTGTCTTGAGAACTTAATGCTTGGCCAAGAGTCCTGTTTAGGCCTGTCCCTGCTGATCCGCAAGGTATTGACCCAGCACTTGTCCTTCCTTGAGAGAACAACTTCAATGAAATGTGACTGTGGCTGCTTACACTAGACGTTTACAGTAGAAAAGTGTAAAACCTTGATTTGCAGCACAGTGTCTCATTCCAGAAACAGTGATGATGTGATGGTTTGCCCGAAGCGCTTGTCATGGAGCATTTGGTGACTCAGCATTCCGAAAACAAAATATGGAACTCTTGAAGCACCTTGAAACACTCTTTTGAGAACTGTCATCAACATTCAATGAAACCTTTGTGGCCAAGTTGCCCCAAGTGCCTCTCGTTTTATCCCAGGCAGGCGGAAGCATATGCTCAGCACAATGGCTGACATAGCATAATTTCGGGCACCCTAGTGGTGCCTTTGCCTTTGCCTTGCCTTTCTTGAGAGACCCCATCTTGAGTCACTGCCAAATGGCTGCAGTCCACAGCCATCCACATCCGAGTACGTGTCTATAGAATGCATGTTTTGTCCAATGTTCTACAAATTGACACTCTCACACAA